TTTAGAAAACAATTAATATAAAACATAGAGGTGAATATGTGATGTCACAAAGCTATGTTGTTGCAGTCATCATGAGAGCACCTCATTCTAAGATTGCTGTTCATTTCGAGGCTACAGTGTCAGCTCAACCTATTTACAGGTGATCTTATTAGAACCTCTTTGTCTCCACTGATGTCTGCGTGTGAACACATGCAGAATATGTGTACCTGCACTACACTGGCATGTCTCTGTTATTTCCGTGTTCAAAAGGCTAATTTGTTTTTTAGTTCCTGTACATGGATGTCATGTCGATGTAAGCATGCACCAAATGAAAAATCATTTTAAGAGCATGGATTTTATGGACTCCCTAACAATCATTCTAAACAATAGGTTACAATACTGCATATAACTTACCATAAATTAATGCTAGAAATAGGCCATCGTTGATTATGTCTTACTGGAAATTCATGAATAGTGTGTTATAGCCTTTTGGGCACTGAAACTGTATGATTCAGATAAGGACTGCTGATGACATAGATAGGAGGGGTTTAAAGTGGACACAGATATACTGGGAAGACAGAGAGATACAGATCACAGTGAAGAGAAGCAAACAGAAGTGCATGAAGAGCAGAAAATGAAGACTAAACACCCAGGTAGGAGTTACACTGAGTGACCAAACATGAACTCATTAAATTTGAATAAATGAATTCATTCATTATGCTTTTTTAGTGTTGATATTGGTGAATTGTCATGGGTTTATCTGTTTCTTTTTTTTTGGAATTTACACACATTAGGGTTCTTTAGTAAAGCCATTTTTTTTAGAACCATGGGTTCTATATAGAACCCTTCCATGCTTTAAGAGCTATTTGCAGAATATGTAGTACATAGTTCTGTATAGAAGCTTTTTAAACATAGTTCTGTATAGCATCTGCTATTGTTAAGAAGTCAAGTTTGTAACATTAGAAGAAGACTTTTGGGTGCTATATAGAATCATTTTCAGAAATATTCTACTTTTATCACATGCTTTATCAATATGAAGAACCATTTCACCATGCAAATAACCATTTAAGCATGAAATGGTTCTATATAGAACTCATGGCTCTGAATACAACCATTGCCTTTACTGAAGAAGCTTTGAAGAACCATCTTTTTAAGTGTGTAGTGTAAATATTACTAGATAGTAGAGCTTTAGCATAGACAGTTGTTGAGCCCAAGACACATCCAAGACTATGACTAGTTGAGACTGAGTCAAGACCGAGTCTAAAGGGGGACGAGACCAAGTAAAAAGCGAGGGTGTATGAGAGCAAGATCATGTCAAGTTTGGGTCCACTTTGAGACCAAGCATAGTCTTTATGGATTCCAGAACAAATTTCTTAGTGTGTTAAATTGTTTGGAGAAAATTGTGGCCATTGACCACAATTTTCCACCCTGTTTACTGAAGTCTTTCCGATTAATATAGATTCATTTGTTACTTTAGTCCCTGCCAATTGCCAGCTGAGTGGTCTTTCTGACTGAAGCTCCTGCCATCCATTCCTCAATAATGAACCTTCTTTCAAACTCATTTAGGTCTTTTCCTTTTGCCACTTTGATCTGAAACAAGGTCAGCTGGGTCTGCTCAACATTTTTATATCTGCCACAGAACACGATAGGATGTTACTTGCTTAATTATATCATGCAGTACGTCTGTGTGGAATGTTTATGTCTCCTCACTCATTTATTCAGGTTTTTCTTTTAATATGTCACCCGTCTGAATATTATCATACAATCTCAGAAAAAAAAATGTACTAAAGCGTCACTGGGGTGGTACCCTCAATGGTCTTCTGTACCTTTAGTTAGGAAACATGTCCTCACTCCAGTCTTTTTATTTTATTGTTCTGTTTTAGAACATTAGATTATGAAAAAAATACAAATACATACCATTCTCATTAAAACAAAACAAACAAAAAAAATAGATAAAGACTAACCTTAAAACTAAGGTTGTACCTTTGCGGTACATGCACAGTAACTTTTTATCTGACAGTGTACATATAAATATGTGTATATTGTCACTTTCCAAAAAAAAAATAATACTAATAAATAAAAATTACAGCTTTTCATGAAAATGCAAAAACTTACTTAACTTTTAAGTACAGAAATGTTATTCCTGATTTTGGAGCATTTCTGTTGGTCCATATATCATGAAATGTTCACATTATGATATGTATGCAACAATATACATGGGCATTTCCAAATGTTTGAACACACTGGTAAAAATGAAATGTTTTTCATCTAAAGATCTAATGTTCCAAACAAGTAGGCCCCAGGTCTCATGTGAGCCCCATGCCACTGAGCCAGCACACCCATAGTGACCCCTTCATGTTCATGGGTGTACAAACGAATAGGCCGTTTGTAGTCGGGAAAACCCAGAGCTCGAGGAGAGCGTACCTTGCATGGGTTCTCATCCTTTGCAGGCAGCAGCAGATCATCAGCATATTGCAGCACTGTACAGCCCTCTGGCATTGTCAGCGTATTTAAGGAATTGTGCACTGTGGTGCCAAAAAACAGCTGGTGAATCAGTAAAGCCCTGTGGGAGTCTTGTCCAGGTATACCGTTTACCCTCAAAAGTAAAGGAAAATAGACCGAGTGTATTTATGGACAGGGATGCCGTAAAATACATACATACATACATACATCATCTAAACCGCTTATCCTTCTGGGTCGCGGTGGGGTGCTGGAGCCTATCCCAGCTGTCATTGGGCGGAAGGCAGGATACACCCTGGACAGGTCGCCAGTCCATCGCAGGGCAGGGATGCCGAAAAATGCAGAACATAAATCTACAACAGTGAAATGTTTGTGCATCACTCAAATTCTGTTGACAGTGGCAGGCACATCTGGCACTTATGGGATTACAACATGATTAACTTGCCACAGGTCCTGAGTAAACCTCCAGCTGCAACTGCCCTCTTTGCGATCTGGGTTAACTGGTGTGTTGTAAGGGGACACTGTTTTGTTGAGTATGCCTTGATTTAGTAATGACTGTATCAAACCCTTGATTCCTTCCTCTTTGTCTTTAGATAAAGCATACTGCTTCCAATGGACTGGCTGCCACATACATGAGGTACATGATGTAAGCGCTCTAGAATTTTTAGCAATGTGCTGAGGTCACACAATTCGACAGACAAAGAATAATTGCCTTCGTTATACACAACCATATTGCCGACATCAAAAGAAATGGATAAATGCAATTTGGACATGATGGTATGACCCAGTAGACTAAATGGAGAGTCTGGAATAATGACGAACCAGAGCAGGAAAAAAATTCCTGGGTCACTTGGAGAGGTTACTGACAGCTGATTTGTTTTTGGACATCGAACTGGCACCCCACTCACTCCCACAGAATTAATTGTGGAACCTGACACTGGTCTGTAATACTTAATACTGTTAATAGATGAATATGTTGCACCAGTGTCCACTAAAAAGCTACATTTCTGGCCATCTATACACAATTCTAAAGGCGGAAGATCACCAGAAAGTAGAGTTAATATCTTAGAAAGCATTGTCATGTTTGCTTTTTTTATAGTGGAGTCGGTGGGCCTCCTTATACGTTTGTCAGTTTCCAGATAATGGCTTGACCTGTGAGTGTTTTGGGACCTTCAATTTGGGTCTGTATTTGGCGCTGAGATTGACTTTCAACAGAATCTCTTTTTTACATTTTCTGACCCTCTTTGACACAATAATGTCATGCCCCTTGCCTCCTCACCCTGCTTTTTCTGATTCATTCTATTACCATCCACTCCAAATGCTTCAGCCTTAGAGGACTTATTTGTCTCGGGGGAAGGGCACTAGTTGCCTCTAAGTCTCTTACATGGCCCAAAATATCTTATATCTTAGACTCTCAAGGCTTGGCAACATAAAGTTTAAACACAGCTGTGTGTTTAGGGAGCATGTTGGATATAAGTGTTTAATAAATGGTGCTGACCACTCAGGTTTGTTTAGTTTTAGTTGGGCTTTGTCTGTCCAAACCTTTTGAAATCTTTCAATGAACATGCTCAGATAATAGTACACTGCACGTGGTGAGTGGGCCTAAAAACACAGTGGAATCATAGACATAAGAGTCACCGGCTTTTGGTTCAAATAAAAGTTGCCGGAAGACATACAAGTTGTTTTCTGCATTGTTTTTATAATTGAATATCTATGCACTTTCTCAAAAAACATGTTTGGAAAGTCCCATGAACCCCTCATATTAGAATATAATTTACAACAATGGCACACAAAGTTCTTCCAAAACATCATTTGATATTGTGTACACAATGCTATATAACATAAGGCAAAATAAAAAAAATTACTTTCATAGATAATCCACCGTTATTTCTTATCACAATGGCCTATTTTTCTCATAATGAAACTGCTGCTTTTAAAAAAATTCACATTGGTTGAGGGAGCTGTCTATCACAAATGATTAGCCAATCAAATGACCAGTTGTGTGGGTGAAGGGAGCCAGCACATTTGGCAGGCTCAGTGTGACTCCAGTGCCCAAGGTTAATATAGTGGATCATGCAAATGAATTAGCTTCACAGAAATGTCAACATACAAGTGAAAATGGGCTGCATTCCTACAGGCTGTGTAAGAAAGTCCACTGAGCTCTTCTCTACTTTTGGCATTTAAAGTTGAGAATGCATCTGAGTTCTTTTAATAAGAAAAACATGCCTTTTGAAACAAAATTGACAATCACGCTATGATAGTTGAATCATAAAATTGTGTCCAGAGGTTGGAACCTGAGTTGTAACACTTTTGATTAAGAACAGATCAAAGTAGAGTCAAACCAGAGTGTTGGTTCTGGTTCAGTTCTAATCATCCATGGACAGGGCTATGCAAATTATGTGGCTAGAAAGTTTGTTTTGTAAATCAACCTGCGTCAGTCTGTTCATTTAACGGAACCTCATACAAAGAGCTTCACAGTTCCTTTACTGGAACTGTCACTGGACAATGACTAATGAATACAAACAAAGCCTGTGATTGTATCTCTCCAGGATTGCATTCAACAGAGGCTGAGCATATCTAGATAGAGATATACACATGTAGAACACTGTGGATGAACATTAACGTGAGGAGAAGAGCAAAAGAAACACATCACAAGGGAGAAAAACAGACATTTACTTTTCTACCAAGGTGTTTGGAAGAAAAACAGAGGAAGAGTTTCTCAGAAATGGATCAGACATGGATTTCAATCATCTTGCTTCTCTCAGGTCAGTGTGCACTTTGCCTCAACTAGAACAATACTAACATAAGAAAGTGAATAAGTTTACTGTGTGTGTGGAAAGCTTCAACAGCTCATATACAAGGTTGGAATTTAAAGAATTCAATTATAAGGAATACATATTCAGAAAACAGAAATGATGTATATTGAATCCAAATTATATTTTATGATGGCAGTATTTAGTTACTTTTAAAATTTTTAAGAAAACCTATTTTCTAAACATACCTATTTACTAAATTAGTTAATAAGCATACCATATTTATAAGAAACACCATCAACCCTTGTTTATTAATTAGAACTATCTAGAACTATTTAACTTTCTATCTAAATTAATTACTGATTGTTTTGGTATTTTGTTTAATTACAATTTACAAAGTATTTACATGAGACAGTCATACAGGCCATATGTTGTATTCGGGAGACTCTAGGCTTCTCATGTGCCATTATTTGACATAAAATTCCAATAGAATTTTCACACTTTCTGCATTTCGTGAATTTTTTGTCGCTTATGTTGCTTAGACAGATCTTGATCAAAGTGTCATTTCAGATGCCTTTTCAGAAATTGATAGTCTGGAGTGTCTGTGAGTTAAAAATGCAAGAATTTTGATAGTGGTTCATTCGATTACTTATTTTTTAGTAAAGAATAAATAATTAGCACAAATAATTAGGTCCTCTTGAATTCATGCTGAGTGCTAAAACTCAGATACCCAGCAAGACAGAAACTTTACAAAAACATGGCTGCCTTATGCTATTCATTAATTAATTTATTTATTTGTAAATCAACCACTCCATCCAACGTCTGGCATTACGCTTGGTGATGTACAGCTTGGTACATGCAGCTGCTCGGCCATGGAAACCCATGCCACGAAACTCCCAGCACACAGTTTTTGTGCTGATGTTGATGCCAGAGGAGGTTTGAGACTCTGCAGTTACTGAGTCAGCAGAGCATTGGTGGCTTTTACGCATTATGCTCCTCAGCACTCGGCAATCTGCTCTGTAACTTTAATTGGTCTAACACTTCAAGGCAGACTGCATGACTAGGTGCTTGATTTTTTACACCTGTGGCAATGGAACTGAATGAAACACCTGAATCCAACGATTAATAATGTGTCCCAACACGTTGTATTATATAGTGTAACAGTAGTGAGTGGATTTTGGATGATTTTGAAGCTGGATTACTGGATGATGGTTGGTCACAACTGGATGAAATGACGTGTTTGTGACGACAGGGTCTGCTGAGTGTTGTGATGCATGAATCATCTTGCTGTTTTACCCATTTGTTGTAATATTAAGGCCAAAGTCAGAATGGTAATATCAGGATTTTGGGTGTTTTTTTTGTTGTTTGTTTTTTTGAGCCAAACTATTCAGTGATGATCACGTCACAGCTTGATGACAACACAGTGGCTAGTGAGGGCTGGGTTTGCTGAGTGTTCTGATATACAAAGCATGTCTGTAACTTAAATCAGTTGTGAAGACTAGAATGCAGCTATGCACATTGACAGTAGAATTCCATGAAGAAAGCTGCCAAGCAGTAACAGCGACAAACCCTTGTGCTTGATCAACTGGTATTCTGGATGTGTTCTAAACATATTCTAAATATGTTATTTTTAATGCAATGATCTGAAATACCCTACAATATACCATAGTGCATTCAGTGTTTAGCCGTCACTACAGTGTTCTGCTCAACACTGCCCATATGTGCACGTTTGTGTGAGTGTGTGTCTGTGTGTAATGAGTGTGTGTAATGAGACACTCAGTGTTACAGGTGTGACATTTAAGACACGTTTCTGCAAAATACAACATATTTTCTTTTGCTTTTCACAGCTGTCTGTGGTGTATCTGCATATGTTCCTCATCAGTATATCTTTGTAAATGAGAATAAAACCTGGACTGAAGCTCAGAGCTACTGCAGACAGAACTACGCTGATCTGGCCACCATCAACAACATGGAGGAGATGAAGAAGCTCAATTCTACTCTAAACAAACTGAAAGATGCACTCAACATCTCTGTTTGGATCGGCCTAGTCAGAGGGGATGCTGGGAAATGGCTGTGGTCTCTTGCAGATGGAAATTTCCACAGAGATGGAGACACGTACAGAAACTGGAGGAGTGGAGAACCTGACAATGGGGTGAACAGGGACGAGTACTGTGTTGCCATGTTAAAAGATAATGGAACCTGGTTTGATGTTCAGTGTAAAAAATTATACACTTTTGTGTGCTATAATGGTAAGAACAAACGAGTATGTGTTAATGAAAGATATTACTTCAAAATAGAAACAGAACTAGAAACTAGAACTGATTGTTATTGTACAGATCTTTTTCAAGTGCCCTATTATGGGTTATGGGGGCAAAAGATTATTAAAATAACTGGCATTAATATTGTAATTAAATTTTTCAGAAAAGAAGATGAGCACTGAAAGATACATATTCATTAATGAGACAACTATCTGGCATGATGCTCAGAGCTACTGCAGAGAACATCACACAGACCTGGTCAGTGTGAGGAACCAGACTGAGAACCAGCAGATTCATAATATGTTAAAAATGAATACAAATGTTGATCGCATTTGGATTGGCCTGTTCAACGACTCCTGGAAGTGGTCAGATCAAAGTGACTCCTCATTCAGATACTGGATGTCTGGTCCAGAGAATTATGGTCAAGGTCAAAAGTGTGCTGCGGTGTTGCTGACTGAGAAGGGTCAGTGGAATAATGAGAAGTGTGACAACCAGCTCCCATTCATCTGTTATGAGAGTGAGTTGTAGTTCACTTCTTCAACAACATCTGGATTTATGTATTATTAAGTTAGTTTACCATTTTATTTATATTTGACACTGTATTTACTGCAAAACCCTAAGATGACTTTGAAGACCATGGAACATCTAAATTGTTCACCAATGACGTTAAGTTTTCCTTCTGCTTTCAGATCAGCTGATCTTGATCAATCAGAATCTGACCTGGAGAGAAGCTCTGAGATACTGCAGAGATCATCATGTGGATCTGGTCTCGGTTCTCTCTGAGGAGATCCAGCTCTGGGTGAACAAGGTGGCACAGAAAGCCTCCACTGAACATGTGTGGCTGGGTCTGCGTCACACCTGCACTCAGGGTTTCTGGTACTGGGTGAGTGGATTTTCCATCTGCTATGAGAACTGGGCTCCAGGTAACGGGACAGGAGGAGAAGACTGCAGCTCTGTAGAGAGAACCGGAGCGGTGCAGTCTAGAGGAGGTCAGCAGTGGGTCAGCCTGCCTGAGGACCACAAACTCAACTTCATCTGCATCACCTATGAAGGTTAGTTACTGTTTGTGGACGTTATTGTAATTCTGATATACTTTGCATTTGTAAACCCTCGTTTTCGTTTTTCTCTTTCCAACGAAAGACTGAATGAAGACCAATAAAGACTGAAACCAGGTGGTTCCTCTTCCTTAACCAGCTTCAGCAGATTTACAGTTTTATACTTTTTATTTGCTTTCTTGATAGTGAGAGTTATACTGGTCTACCAACATGAATGTTTACTGTAGTCCTGTGTGTTTGATGTGCAGATTTGACCTTTTTCATCCATCTAAGTTACAGTGGGCCTCATTACTGAACCACAATCAGAATGCAATAAAAATGTAATATCTTTTGTAAAATAACTTTTAGCATAAACATGTATTTCTTATCCATAAATAACTTCCTAGGAGGCTGTGTGTATAATCATATTTCCTTCTGTATATCTGTTTATCTATTTTAATATGTAATCATAAGGAATTTCAAATGTAATCGCCTCATTATTTCTGTCAGTTATCATGAATGTAAGAAACTCATTTCAGTTCAGGTCATTTTAAGCTTTTCTTGGTCTTTACTCATGTTTTATTCACATGCACATTCCTTGTCTGCTTTCCTCCCTCAGGGAGTTAACAGTTTGTTTTAAAAATCATAAACTGGGGATTTATTAATGTCATTCACTTTACTTTAAGCTGTATTCATTTTGCACTGTATTAAACAACTGGAGTAAAAGAATTGTGAAAATCACTTATGCTTTCATTTTTAGTCATAATAACTCACCGTACCCACTTATTAATATCTTGTAAATATCCTCGTATGCAAATTTCTGAGCATAAGTTACCACCTAAATTCACATCTTATGTGTAGAATTGGCAGCGTTTGATTCCTAAAGGCTGTAGGTAGAGCATTGAGTGTACTGCTTACAGGTGTTTACAAATTTCCTGTAAAATAGTGAGCAAATTACTGTAATGCTGCACAAGCACAGAAAGACGCTCGCGCATCTTAAAAAGGCAGTGGTTTAATGAGAGACAGTAAGATGGTCAGACAGTTTTAGGGCAAATCCAAAATCAAAATCCAAAAGCCTTGCAAAAAGTAAAAAAAAAAACAGAAGATACAAAATGCACAAGTGACCAGAGCAAAAGGGCAAACACAAAAACGCAATATCCAGAAAACAGGCAAAGGGTCCAATACACAAGTCAGAAAAACAGTCGAAAAATGCTCAGTAGTCCATTGAAGGGCAATACCTCGCAATGAGGAGAACAAACCGGAAACTATTTAAAGCCTGGGACAAACAAACACAGGTGAATTGCATTAATATTCAGGTGACTGAGAACGAGGAAACTGTGTGTGATTGGTGGAAGGAGTGACATCATCAGGATTGGAATCATGGGAATTGGAGTCCTGGAGAGTATTAGGCAAGGGAGGAGAACCCGGAAGCGTGACAATTACAAAATGCATTAATAAATGAACAAAACTAAAGTGGAACATACTTGTACTGAATTATCAATACATCACTCTTAATAAATGCTGAAGTATCCTCGGGATAGCTTCTAAAGAACTAGAAATGTTTAAACGATCATTACTAATGAAATCTGCAAGAGCAAAAGTAAAGAGGAACTTAACTATGCTTGCATCAGAAAGATTGCCATTAACACATTAGGCAACAAGCAGTTATTAATTAATTAAGAGACGGTTTTATTAACGCAACGTATAATATATTTTTATACCCGCATTTCTAAACTTGCCTACAAATATGATCCCACTTTATTAGGCCATTATTGATATGGTAACACTTTCTATGAAGTCTGCATTCATAAGACATTACAAAAACAAATGCACTCATGACTCATTGTAACAATGCTTTGTAAGCATATTTATGAGCTCTAAAAATGATTCACAAGGTCTCAACAATGAAACTGACCTTATAAACAGATGAGGAGTACATATACATATTATAAATCAGTTATAAAAACATTATAAGCATCCACAATGCCATAACTGAGTGCGTTGAGTAAACTGACTGACATTTCTGGTTATTCTTTCTTGTAAACAAATGATAAAATATGATAAACTTTATTTTCCAAACTAATTCCACAAGGAAAGATAAATTATTGCAATTTGAAAAATGTACTTTGTAATTTGCAATTATGTGCAGATTATTATCACTTTAACAGACATTAGAATCAATAGGGAAATTTGTGCATATTAGAGGCTTATGAGGCAATACTAGGGTTTAAAAGTATGCTTACCAAGCACTGTTACCAAGATACAAAGAGTTCTAAGCACATATATAACTATTTATGACTTCATAAACTTGTTCATTTTGAGGCTGCAGTGTCAGCTTAACATATTTGCAAATGATCTTATTAAAAAGCTCTTTGTCTCCACTGATGTGCGAGCACATGCAAAATATGTGTACCTGCACTACACTGGCATGTCTCTGGTATTTCCGTGTTCCGGCTAATTTGTTTTTTAGTTCCTGTACATAGACGTCGTACTGATGTATGGATGCTCCAAATAGGAATCATTTGAAGAACATGGATTTTATGGACTCCCTAACAATCATTCTAATTGCCAAGGTTACAATACAGTATATAATTTACCATAAATTAATGCTAGAAATATTTTACTGGACATCCATGCAAAGCGTATTATAGCCTTTTGGGCACCAAAACTGCGAACTGATGTATGATTCAGATAACATCAGTTAGCTAGCAGGACTGCTGATGACATAGATGGGAGGGGTTAAAATGGACAGAGACGTACTGAGAAGAAAGACACAGTGAAGAGAAGCAAACAGAAGTACATGAAGAGGAGAAAACGAAGACTAAACACCCAGGTAGGAGTTACACTGAGTGACTTAACATTAATTCATTTTCTTTATGCTTTTTTGGTGTTTATATTGGAAATAGAAAGGCTTATATGTGTTTTTTGGATAATGTGATTTAAACATTTTAGGGTTCTTTAGTAAATCCAGTGGTTTATTTAGGACCGTGAATTTCTACATGGTTCTGTATAACTTCTGCTATTTTTAAGATGCCAAGCTTTTACCAAAAAAAGAACACTTTTAGGTGCCACATAGAACCATTTTCACCAGGTTTCTATGTATAACCCATGAAAAACCATTTGACCATGCAAAAAAAACATTTAAGCATGAAATAGTTCTATGTAGAACTCATGGCTCTAAATACAACCATTGCCTCCATTAAAGAAGCTTTGAAGAACCTTCGTTTTTAAGTGTGTAGTGTAAATATTACTAGACAGTAGAGCTGTAGCATAGATATTTTTTGAGAAATTGAGTTCTAAAATCAGTACAAACACAGTAAAATCATTACAGCTAAAAAAAGTTTTTTTTTTTCTGATCATCCATGGACAGGGCTACGCAAATGATACAGCTAGAAAGTTTGTTTTGCAAATCGTCTGTACAGTTGATGGAACCTCATGCAAAGAGCTTCACATTTCCTCTTTACTGGAACTGCCACTGTACGATGTCTAATGAAAACAAACCAAGGCTGTGATGGTATCTCTTCAGGACAGCACTCAACAGAGGCTGAGCATATCTAGAGAGAGTTATACAGACGTAGAACACTGTGGATGAACATAACGTGAGGAGAAGAGCAAAAGAAACACATCACAAGGGAGATAAACAGATATTTACTTTCAATCAAGGGGTTTGTAACAAATCCAGAGGAAGAGTTTCTCAGAAATGGATCAGACATGGATTTCAATCATCTTGCTTCTCTCAGGTCAGTGTGCACTTTGCCTCTACGAGAACAATACTAACATAAGAAAGTGAATAAGTTTACTGGGTGTGTGGAGCAATTAGGTATTCATTGTTTTGGTGTTGATGTCACTTACAATGATAAAATATTTACATGAGACAGTCATACAGGCCACATATTGTTGTTGGGTTTTTTTTTGTTTGTTTGTTTTTGTTAGGATACTCTAGGCTGCATGTATATACACCAATCAGGCCTAACATTATGACCACCTCCTTGTTTCTACACTCATTGTCCATTTTATCAGCTCCACTTACTATATAGGTGCACTTTGTAGTTCTACAGTTACAGACTGTAGTCCATCTGTTTCTCTGCATACTTTGTTAGCCCCCTTTTACCCTGTTCTTCAGTGGTCAGGACCCCCATGGGCCCTCACAGAGCAGGTACTATTTGGGTGGTGGATCATTCTCAGCGCTGCAGTAACACTGACGTGGTGGTGGTGTGTTAGTGTGTGTTGTGCTGGTACAAGTGGATCAGACACAGCAGTGCTGCTGGAGCTTCTGAATATGTTAGTTTATTATGTATTGGAAAAGAATACACTCCTGAGCACGTTTAGGGCAGTGTATTCAGCCGTCACTAAAGTATCCTGCCCATATACAATGCTTTCGGAAAATTTTCAGACCATTCCACTGTTTTTCACATTTTGTTATGTTGAGGCCTTGTGATGAAATAATAAAAAAAAATTAGTTTTTCCCATCAATCTGCACTCAGTACTCCATAATAGGAAAGTGAAACAGAATTTTCGAAACTTTTGCAAATTTATTAAGAAGGAAAAATAGCAGTGATTTGAGTCTGTGTTAAATGAGTCAAGAGACGTGTGTTTTTGTGTTATTGTGTGTTACAGGTGTGAATTTTTCTCACTGTTTACTGCATTCAGGCATTTTGAGACGTGTTTCTTTAGCTGCAATATCAGACCAACTAAAATACATTTTCATTTCCTTTGCACAGCTGTCTGTGATTTAACTGCAAATGTTCCTCATCAGTATATCTTAGTGAATGAGAGTAAAACCTGGACTGAAGCTCAGAGCTACTGCAGACAGAACTACACTGATCTGGCCACCATCAACAACATGCAGGAGATGAAGAAGCTCAATTCTACACTACATGAACATCTGAAAGATACACCCAACATCTCTGTTTGGATCGGTCTAGACAGAGGGGACACTGGGAAATGGCTGTGGTCTCTGGCAGATGGAAATTCCTACAGAGATGGGAGACACGTACAGAAACTGGAGGAGTGGAGAACCTAACAATGTTGCGAATGAGGGCGAGTACTGTGTTGCGCTGTATTTTGATAATGGAGACTGGTTGGATGATGTCTGTTACAAATCATACACTTTTGTGTGCTACAATGGTAAGAACATTTGTTAAGAAAATATATTACTTCATAAAATGGATCTAGAAAATACAGAAAAATGATTTAATTCTTATTGTGCAGATCATTTTCATCTTATTTTATCTCATGATTTTCATATTATTTCTGTTTAGTGCCCTGTTGTGGGTTATGAGGGCACAAGTTTATTAATAGTAACTGACATTAATAATGTAATTGAATCTTTCAGAAAAGAAGACCACTGAAAGATACATATTCATTAATGAGACAAAGACCTGGCATGATGCTCAGAGTTACTGCAGAGAACATCACACAGACCTGGCCAGTGTGAGGAACCAGACTGAGAACCAGCAGATCTTTAATATATCAAAAAACTATTCAAATTCTCAAAATATTTGGATCGGCCTGTTTAACGACTCCTGGCAGTGGTCAGATGAGAGTAACTCCACATTCAGATACTGGATGTCTGGTCCAGATAAATATGGTCATGGTGAAATGTGTGCTGCGGTGTTTGAACAAGGTTACTGGAATAATGTGAGCTGCACCAACAAGCTCCCATTCATCTGCTATGAGAGTGAGTTACATTTCAGCAATGTGTGTGTTTATGTATTATTCTAACTGATCAGTTAGTTTACCTCTTTATTTATATTCAATTATTTTATTGTAAACCCTTTGATACATGCGAGTCTTTACTCTGAATGTTTGTTTGTTATACTGTATGCCTTTATGCAAAGACACTGGAATTTCTAAATTATGCACTGATCATTTTCCGTTTTCCTTTTGCTTTCCAGATAAGCTGATCTTGATCAATCAGAATCTGAGCTGGAGAGAAGCTCTGAGATACTGCAGAGTGAATCATGTGGATCTGGTCTCAGTTCACTCTGAGGAGATCCAGCTCTGGGTGAAGGAGGTGGCACAGAAAGCCTCCACTGAACATGTGTGGCTGGGTCTGCGTCACACCTGCACCCTCAGCTTCTGGTTCTGGGTGAGTGGAGTGTCTATCTGCTACCAGAACTGGGCTCCAGATAACGGGACAGAAGGAGAAGACTGCAGCCCTGTAGAGAGAACCGGAGCAGTGCAGTCTAGAGGAGGTCAGCAGTGGGTCAGCCTGCCTGAGGACCACAAACTCAACTTCATCTGCACCACCTATGAAGGTTAGTTACTGTTCATGGATTTTACTGGAATTCTGATGTAATTTGCATTTGTAAACCATCTTTTTTGTCTTTCTCTTCTCAACAATGAAGACTGAAACGAGGTGTTTCCTCTTCCATAACCGTCATCGGCAGATCTACAGTTTTATGCTTTTTATTTGCTTTTCTTGATAGTGAGAGTTATACTGGTCTACCAGCATGAATGCTTAATGTACTCCTGTGTGTTTGATGTGCAGATTTTACCTTTTGTCATCCATTTAAGTTACAGTGGACTTCATTACTGAACCACAATCTGAATTCTATAAAAACTGAACATCAGTCATTTGTAAAATAACTTTTAGCATGAACTGTGTGTATTTCTTATCCATAAATAACTTCCTATGAGGCTGTGTGTATAATCATTTTTTCTGTATATCTGTTTGTCTATTTTAATATCTAATCATAAGGAATTTTGTAATTGCCTCATTATTTCTGTCAGTAGTCATGAATGTAAGAAACTCATTTCAGTTCAAATCTTTTTAAGCTTTTCTTGATCTTTATTCACTTTTTATTTATATGCATTTCCTGTATGCTTTACTTCCTCCACATAGGTACATAATGTATATAGTTTATTTTAAAAATCATACAATGGGGATTTATCAGTGTCTTGTTGTTTGTTCAATAAAGCCTGAATTAGACCACTATAAATGGTTTATTCACTTTACTTTAAGCTGTATTCATTTTGAACCATATTATTAAACAGCTGGAGTAAAAGAATTAAGAAAATCACATGGTTTCATTATAAGTCATGATACCTCAAAGTACCGACTTATTAATAACTTGTTAATATCTTCTTATGCAAATTTCTGAGCATGATTTACCACCTATATTTACATCTTATGTGTAGAATAGGCAGCATTTGATTCATAAAGGCTGAAGTTAGCATCAAGTGCATTACATTAAGTATTTACAGATTTCCACTAAAATAGTGCAAATTACAAAATACATTTATTAATGAATTTAAATGACCAAAACTAAAGTGGAACACACTTATATACTGAATTATCAATACATTACTCTTAATAAATGCTTACAAATATGCTCAGGATAGTTTCTAAACAGCTAGTAATGTGTTAAAAGATCATTACTGATGACATCTGCAAGAACAAAACTAAAGAGGACTTTAAGAGAACTTAAGTATGCTTGCACCAGAAAGATTGCAATTAACACATTAGGCAACAAGCAGTTATTAACTAATGTAGAGAAGCTTTTATTAACATGTCATATAATATATATTTATACTGCCTTTCTAAACTTGCTTACAAATAAAATGATCCACTTTATTAAGCCACATTAATTGGGTAACACTTTCTATGAAGCCCATATTCATAAGACATTACAAACACAAATGCACTTAGAAGTCTTTTTAACAATGCTTTATTAGCATATTTATGAACTCTAATAATGCTTCATGAGGCCTTAATAATGAAGTGCAATTTTAAACAGACAATCAGTAAATATACACATTATAAAAACAGTTCTTAAAACATTATAAACATTTAAAATGCCATCACTCAGTGTTTTAAGTGACTGCCATTTCATTTTTTGTTGTAAATAAATTACAATGTATGATAAACTTTATTTCCACAAGAGAAGATAGATTATTGCAATTTAATAAAAAATTTTCTTTATTTCATAAAAGTCTGAGGAAGAAAGACAAAGTAGTCTTGTGAAAAGTTGTGAAGTCATCAAAGAGTTCATTATAATACATATTAGAGTCTTATATGTATATTAGGGTTTAAAAGTATGTTTACAAAGCATTGTTAGCAAGTCACAAAGAGTTATAAACACAGTTATAACTGTTTATGACTTCATAGGAAGTGTTATGTAACGTTTTTGGCAACTTTATTTTTAAGAGTGCAGTTAAGTTTAAATGTATATTTTGTTCACAGCTATGCACATGCTGATGTAAACATACTGCCACTCATGGAAAAAAACCTTGTATCTGCATTTTTGCTTTTTTTGTTTTACATATTTTGGAAATGCCAGTTGCCACTTATACTCTGTCAAAATTTCATAACAAATGGTAAAATAGAAACAGTCCACATTGGCATAGAATACATTTTTGTTGCATTGAAACTTTCAATAAGGACGTTTTCCTTAGTTACTTTTTCAGAGATACGAGGTTTTGTTCCAACAGTGACAATATGCAAAGTGTTTTACTTGCCACACAGCAGACCAGGAACATGTTGATGTGTTGATAACGACACTATCTAGGACTGTACAGAACACAAATGGCAGGAGTTTCTCAAAATGGATTTCAAATTAAACCTAGGGTATTACTACAACACCAGCACTTTGAGGACATCATCGATGGACTTTTTAACATAACTGGACCTGATATCCCATTATAAATTCATTTGATGACATGAGTATGGCATAAACAAAATCAATGATCATTTAGAAAACAATAAATTAAAAAAATGGGGGTGAATATTTGATGTCACAAAGCTATCTTGAGGCAGGTATCATGAGAGTTAAGCAGTCGCACCTCATTCTAAGACAGCTGTTCTTTTCGAGGCTACAGCATCAGCTCAACGTATTTGCAAATGATCTTATTAGAACCTCTTTGTCTCCACTGATGTCTGTGTGTGAAAACATGCAAAATATGTGTACCTGCACTACACTGGCATGTCTCTGTTATTTCCGTGTTCAAAAGGCTAATTTGTTTGTTAGTTCCTGTATATTGACGTCATGTTGATGTATGGATGCACCAAATGAAAAATCATTTCAAGAGCATGAATTTTATGGACTCCCCAAGTTTACAATACTGTAAACAACTCACCATAAATGAATGCTATAAAATAGGTTGTTATTGACCAGGTCTTACTGGAAATTCATGAAAAGTGTCTTATAGCCTTTTGGGCATTGAAACTGTGGCCTGTATGATTCAGATAACATCAGTTAGCAGGACTGCTGATGACACAGATAGGAGGGGTTAAAGTGGCCAGATATGTACTGAGAAGATAGAGACATACAGATCACACAGTGAAGAGAAGCAAACAGAAGTGGATGAAGAGGAGAAAACGAAGATTAAACACCCAGGTAAGAGTTACACTGAGTGACTTAACATTAATTCATTTTCTTTATGCTTTTTTGGTGTTTAAATTGGAAAGTGTCACAGGTTTATATGTGTTTTTGTTTCTTTTCCTCATACAACCTTATAGAACCATTTCATGCTATAAGAGTTCTTTGCATAGTGAAATGTTCTTCAGATTGATGCAGAATATGTTGTTTATGGTTCTGTACAGAATCTTTTTAAACACAGTTCTGTATAGCACAGTTCTGTATGTTTATTTGCACACCATAAACAACATAAACCTAACAGAACCAAAGCTGGCTACTCCACTGTGGCTTCATGCATGACGTTTCAGTTCTTTTCAAATCAGCAATCCATTCTGTTGCTGCTGCTCGATCTCTCTTCTCCTCCCTCTTTGCTCTCCACTCCTTTTAAAGGTGCCTCTTGAGGGCAGGGTCAGTTAAATTGTTCCAGATCATCATTAACTCCTAGTTCATTAATAGTGAGTTATCGTGCATTTTACTTTATAATACTGTTCCTGATCATCATTAATTCCTAGTTCATTACAGATGTTACCATGTGTTTCACTTTATAATACTGTTGCAGATCATGATTAACTCTTAGTTCATTAACAGTGGGTTACCATGTGTTTCACTTTGTAATATTGTTCCTGATCATCATTAACTCCTAATGAAGAACATCAACATCTTGTAGCCAACACTGGCTGAAACTTTATTTCAAACTGGGTGTTTACCCAAAAGCTAAGGGCCTTTTGGCTCCAGTGAGTCTGGAGTTGAAAATGTAAATCTGTCGACTTAACACTCCTGACCCCAAACTCAGTCAAATTTACGGCTGAATCAAGAACCAGCACCCCTCTTCCTTGACACAAGGGGCAACAGAGCACCCCCCTCTGGAATGTGGCATATGGCTCTCCAAAGTCCTGTGGACAACTTTATCTTTAAGTAACGGAAAGTACATTTCTAAGGTATATATCCACTCCAAACTGCAACCATTCGTTAGGACAGGATTTTAACTAAACTAGACATACCAAGAACGGGACTGTTATGACAATCTGAACTGAGAATTTAAAACTTATAAATCCCCTGAGGATCTCAACATGAACCCACAGCACCCCAAGGTGTGAAAACAAGAATTACCACATCACCACTCTAAGGACTGTTGCTCACAAAGGACCCCAGAAACACTCATTGATATGCATGTTTGACTATCAATCCTATCTAATTTGCAAGAGATGATGATTGTATTTGTGTACCCAGTTACTTAAAGTGTGTATTCTCCTTTCTTTTACTAGATGTTAGGAATGTGTAGGATAACTGTCTGAAAGTTACTGAAATAACCATTTAAAGTAGTGGTTTTAGAACACTAAGCATGCACCTAGGTTTTCTTTTCACTTATTGTATCTAGCCTTCTATTTTACTATTCTCTTTTACTTGATTTTATTCTTTGAAGTGTTGATTTTATTGTGTTAAATCTCCTGCCATGAAAAGACACCCAAAAGGGTTACCTGTAAGACTATTTCTGCCTTTACAATAGTTGTTTTCAGGTAATGTGGATAAAACTGTGGGTTGACGCACAAATGTTAATTGTCTGTGTGGATTTTGGAACTTAATTCAACGATCTGAAACTGTTTTGATTTAAATCTAACTAAACTTTTCAAATCTAGAGGTAACAAAGAAGGGAGTTCCCTGGGAAGGCACTTACAGAGAAACCACCCCCAATCAGAATCGAGAACTAGGAATAGCTAATTACCCACTAGGTAAGAGAACCTATCACCACCTTCGCTCCACCCCTGAAGGGAGGGGCCAACAGCTGGGTAAAACCGGCGCGCACGCCAGTTCCAGTTAGTTCGAGCTCACATTCGAGAGAACAAGGAGAAACTTCCATAAGTATGTGCCAACCGTGGTTACAAAGAAAGTTTAGAAGTTTAGAACGCTTAGATCAGATCTGGATATTTTGCTGTTCATGTAGTTTGTCTTTTGTTTATACCTTTAAGTTTAACCCAACCTTAGAGAAAAAAGTGAAGATTTCTTTACATGGCCAAGTAAGGACTTTCTTCAAGTTTCAGCTCTGATGAAGATAGGTAGTTGATTCAGGTTAACAGCCTTGAAATTTGACTGCACTTCCCCAGCCCTAAGAAGAAGCCCAGAGACTCTGAAGCCCAGCCAGAGCCGCGCCTCGACCGGCGAACCGAATCCTCGCCAGAAGCTCCATCCTCAAACAGCCCT